AATGTAATGTAATGTAATGTCATGTGGTCCATTGCAATGTAGTATAAATTCACAAGCAGATGACAGATGGGTCGCCAGTCACTAAGAGATGATGGTTCGTAAATAAAATCGGGGAAGTTCAGAGCTGCCTTTACAATGAAGAGACAGCCCACCAGCCTCATGAATCACGTAACTATGTACATACCTCAATTTTCATTGAAAGAGAGCTCTTGGCTGAATGAGCTGCAGTATCAAAATGCAGCAGTTATGAACTGGAAAAGTTACAAACACGGCCAAACAGGAACGCCACGGCAAACCTATGAGCCCATCGGCACGTCAGGATGAAATTAGCAGCAATCAATGTACTTGTGCCTCTATGTGTGTAAATCTTTCAAGACGATCAGAATCAAGATTGCCGATGTGGATAGCCAGTCAAATTTGTGTAGACGATAAATGGAGGAAGTCTGCACCCATGCCTTCGTATGTCGAATTCCCTTCCCCTCCCCTCCCCTGTCTCTCTTTTCTCCGTCTGCTGGTCGGTGGGTAATAGCCGGCCAATCAGTCAGTCCGTCATTGGGCTTGTGTGCTGGAGTGTCTGTTTGTTGGTATGCTCGTATGCACGATGTATGTGCATATGCAAGGTCAACCATGTGCCTGTGCATTTGTGTATGCATGGATCAACCGTTGCGGGGAGAATTGGTTTGATGGCTGAAGTTGGATGGATGCAGGCATACCTTCATGTGTACATACCTCGTACTTTATGCAAGTGCAAGTTTTCTGATGCATCCGCTAGCCCTTGTGCAAGAGGCTAATCCAAATGGCGTGGACACGGAAACTGTTCGTGCATCTCGGGAGAATCAAGCTTGCTTTGCTTCACGCGAGATTGAGTTGGTAGCTGTGTGCACGATGCCAAGTAAGCTTTCGCCAATTTCAAGGTCCTTACTTGTCAATTGGTCGGGAGCCACAGGATGCGCCCGTCTTCATTGCTTCGCTTTCGCTGTTTGGGCTTTAGCTGGTGCAGATCTGGCTGAGGCTCGTGCCATTGAGTACTGTCATCGGCATGATGTGGGAGTCTCAGGGTGAGGGTCCCCTCAGTTCTCACCGGAGTTCTGCACTGGATTCGGTGTCAGGTCATTCACCGTGACATCAAGCCAGAAAACTTGTTGAGTCGCAGACTCAGTTGGACCGCAAAGTGAACAGGTAAATTTGTCAGGACCACGAGCCCGGCATGGCCTTGCGTTTCGCTAGAATCATTGCCATCCATGTGCGCGATGCACATTCCCTACAATTCACCTCGGAGGTGGTCCTCCGCTTCCACATAAAACTCGCAGTGAGCCATCGGAGGTGTTGCTTCTGTGACGTAGGAGGTGTGTGTTGGCAAGCAGCAGCCGTCATATGAGACTCAGAGTTGTTGGAACTGGGTCTTTAACTTCCCTGCCCCAAAGCAGCGTTGGAATTTCCAGACTATGGATCCGAAAGCAGCTCTGCACCATGCCACCGGTGATGTCTTGAGAGACGATGACGAAGGCTTCAAACATGTCGAATCGTCAACGGTTGTCTCACCCAAGCCGCCGCCCTGCCCAGTCAACCCTGCGGATAATGCACTGCGGCTTTGCGACTTCGGGTTTGCCCGGACAATGAGCCCTCATCTCAGATATTGCGTGATTGCTTTCACCGAACATGGGGTTCTTGAGCGAGTCTGGTTACTTCCTGAACGGAGCTTCTGTGTGCCAGCGCGGATCTAGGCGCGGATACTCCACTCACAGCCAGCCGCTCAGAGTGCTAGCCCTTCTGCTTCTTCTTGCAGATTTGTGCCGTGCTCCGCTGTACTGCAATGCACGGCAAGCTTGACAGTCTAGATTTGCAGAGTCCGCATGCCTGTTTCCCAAAAGACCGCCTCAGGATTACGTTGCAACTCGGTGGTACCGCGCACCAGAGCTCCTTCTAGGTTTCACACATTATGGAAAGGACCCGCATCGCTGCATCATCGGGGGCGTTCCTTGCCATTTTCCTGAGCTCAGCACGGTTGAGGGGCAGCCTTCACGGCCGTGAGAGTCATGCTCTTCCCGTCTCTCGTCTTGCAAGTGGCCAACCTGGAAGGATGTAGATATTTGGGCCGTTGGCTGCATCATGGGCGGCTGCCTGAGAATCCAGCTACATCCTGTTGGGAAGGCGGAGGTCTGATGTGGTAAACCCAAGGTGAACTCACTGATGGCCAGCCGCTTTTCGCCGGTGAGTCGGAGGCAATTCTTGGACGGTTAGCACGTCCACCCTGATCTACGTAATGGCATGCATACTTGCGTACATGCACACATGCACGCCTGCACGCATGCACGCA